AATGCTTCTGTATTAATTTCTCATCTAGCGCTGTGAAGAAAACTGACTTTCAGTATTCTATCTATCATATGGACTTAGATTGGAAAACTACCGCACGAGATTTAGGAATAATAATGGACTGCACGCTATCGTTTAGGGACCATTATGATTACTTACTCAATACTTGTAACAGGACGCTTGGCTTTATTTCCCGATGTTGTAAAGGCTTTCGTAACCCTGAATCATATATAAAAGTCTTCAATAGTTTAGTTCGTAGTAAGCTGGAGTACTGCAGTATTGTTTGGAATCCTTACTACGCGGTGCACATAGATCGCCTCGAAAGTATTCAGGCAAAATTTTTCAGAACTATTTCATATCGCCTGGGAATGAAGCGTACTCTCACAACTTATACAGATAGATGTACCTATTTTGGTATGTCTACTTTACAAAACCGCAGGCTGATGATTGACATGTTAATGTTTAATAAAATACTAAGAGGTAACTTGAAAACTGAACTCCTTGCAAATGTAGCTGTTAATGTACCCATGCGCAATTTAAGAAAATGTGAACTGTTTTATGTTCCAACTCATCGTACAAACATCACTTACAATAAACCTCTATCTAGAATTAGCCGCAATTATAATTCCCTGGTTCTGAAACATCCTGAGCTGGATATTTTGGGTGGTGATCTGTTCACATTTAAACGGAGATTGAAAGCAGCCTTAAATGCTTCATGATATTGTTCTCCATTATTCTATTTTAGCTATATAGTTATTAGTTTTAAGTTTTTTATTATGTTTTGTCACCAATATTTATTATTTGTCACTTTTATAGTATGTACCATCAATTTACTTGTTTTTTTTCTTATATAACTTGCTGTCGTCGCATACTTGGAATGTCAACTGAATGTTATAATATTGTCTTTGTATTATTATTTAAATACGTTGCCATTCTGCTTTGTGATGCTACAAATAAATAAATAAACTTAAACAACTTGATGCTCCAAGATCAAACTTCTGAACTTTGGACTGCATCCATTTCTAGTGTTTATTGTGGTTAATTCTTCTAGAAATATTAAAAATGTACACAATACACTAATGGGCCTTATCGATTTATTAGTGTGCTCAGCGCAATACCAACATAGACCATAACAAATTTTCATTTTAACATACAAAAACATTGTTATCAACGCCTGAGGTTTAGTCAAATTAATAATAGACCACTTGTTTTGTGCGACACGTGTATGGATGTCACAACGATAACATTTGAATGTAAATAAGTTACTGGCCAAGTAGAGTTAATTATATACCATTTGTATTGAGATTGTCAAGCGTTATGTAAACATCGTAACATACCTACTGATCGCTTGTTTATGCTCGGTTTGTGTTATCTCTGTTTAAGTTACGATTTGCTCCGGGTTAATAGTAATAAATGATCAGGAACCATAACAAATGGCAACTGTTAAAAAAAAATATCATTAAAATATCATAATTTAAGTAGCAGGATTTCTATTTTCTCTATTTAATATTCTACAAATAATTCTACTTAAATTATAAAGACATTAAAAATTCAACTTTAACCACTTATATCAATAATAATAGACAGATAGTATAATGTACGTAATGTCTTTTTATTAAAAAAATTAAAATATTGGAAAGTGCTTCCTAAATCATCTCACATACGTTCAACACAAATACACATTCATCAAATTTATATTAAATAACTTGACTTTCAATTATGACCATTTATTTTTTCTGCACTGTATTGTGTATATATTATACATCTATTAATATTAAAATATAAACTGCTTGCAAAAAACAACAACATCTATCCGGCAATATGACCCGATAAAGCGGCGCGTTGTAATTAAATATTACCGAGATAAACCCCCGGCTTCTGTTATCTATGGTCACGTACACATTTAGGTTCAAACGGACCTTTCAACATCGCGAAAGAGCGAATAAAATGGTTAAAATGAAAATAGTTTTTATCTCGCTATAACATTCCATTGAATTTTTGCAGGCTATCCTATGTAAAACATTAACGATGTTCCATCGAAAACACAACGCTCAGACTAAAATTCCGTAGAGAAGATTAAAATTCTGGTTATGGAGAAATGATCCCTCCTGTTTTAGTTATTTTAAATTCATGCAAGTTTTAAACTTAAAGAATTTTAAACGAAAAGCAATTTCACAGAAAATTTTCATTTATAGTTTTATAATTGATTCATTTCAGTTATTGTGCGTTCACAAGAGATTTATATAATTTAATTACTGAAGAATACAATTAATTATAAAAACCTTGACCTTTTCGCGGGGACGTCTTGTTAGTAATACGTTACCATTTTTGTGTGCTCAGAGCTGCGAGAAGTGTAACTAAAATTCTCTACCAAATTCTGTTTCGAAATGTATTGGAAATAGCGTCTGGTATTTATTCGAATTAGATAGTGGCTTGTCAAGGATTCGAAGCTGTTTGAAAAAAAAAACAGATCTATTGTATATCAATTATTGATGGAGCAAACATAAATATTTAGGAGTTTGGGCGGTATACGCGAACGGTCGTGACGGTATCTGCGCCGCCTGGCCGCATTTACCGCCTATTTATTTTCCTTTCCTTTTATAAGTCTAGTGAAGTTCGGCGAGCGCACTATTTACGCTGTATAACGTAGTAAGAATTGTAAATGTTTCTTTTACTCCTAACTGATACATATATCTTAATCACTGTTAATTTGCAGCGTGCCGGCGCCGTTGATTTATAAGAATCCGGCTCTCGCAAGGTTATGCAAAATTGCTCTACCGAAATCAAACACTGTTTATTGATTGCACCACAATATTTTTAGTAAGAAACGTACTGAAAATAAAACATTTCTTACTACTTAATTGTTACAAGGGAGAAGAATGAAGATATTTATTGTTCCAAATACACTTTTATAACTCCAATCGCTCATACAAATCACACACGTACGCACACACAAATAAAATACACACACAGACAGGCATGTCCAAAAATTAATATGCAAATGTTGTTATATTTATTCATAATCTTTTATTGTTAAATTTGTTCTTGTTTATTATTTATTTATTTTTTAATGTTAAATTATTATTGTTATTATTACTGTCATCGTCGTCATCTATCGACCTCACGAGGCTCCACTGAAAACCAGCAATCGCGAAATTTTTTCGCAATGTAATGCTGAGTGAGTGACCTTTTTGGTGCATCGACTGATAATTTTTCATTGTTTTGTTATTTTAAGTTGTTTTTTTTTTTGTACCAAATAAACATTTCTTTCTTTCTTTCTTCTTTCTATATTCGCCCTGTCAATTAAAAGCATAACGTTCACACGAGCGTTTTACTATGTACCAACCTATAGCGACGAACTACATGAACTTGCACGGCAGTATGACGGCATTGCTGTTTACAGTGGGGCACGCGCGATTCAAGGAAGCCCACATCAATGGTCTAATGTTTTGAAAACGCATCTTTCAAAGAAGAGATACCGGCGAACAACGCCATGCGATACGCACATGCCTCCTGCACGTGCTGACGTAAGAATTCAATTGAAATACTGGACCCCCTCCTAGTAACACTTATTTTTTCTTATGTCAGTATACATTTTCTGGAAGCGCGTATAAGCAATTACGCAAGCGTTATTACGAATGTTGTTTTTAATGCCAAGCCATCTAAAATAGTGAACGAGTGCTTCCTATCTGTTGCCAGCCGCTGCGTACGAGAGAATCAATTACCCGACTTTGATTCCTCGCAGATTTTCCAATTTCAAACAAACAGTCTCTCATCGCTTCGTAAAAAAGATGCTGGCTTCTAATTCGCAATGCGGTTGCGATTTTATACACGGGCAATGGAGTCATAGTTTACGATTGCATTAACATTAGAATTAGAATCTGGTGAATCCTACCGTCGTGTTGATAATTAAATAAAGTTTCATTATGACGTTGATATCAAATAAATCTGAGACTGATCGAACTATTGTAAGACTTCAAACCACTATCACCCATACATATGCAGAGCGAACTAAAAGTGAATGAATGAATGAATATTCTTTATTGCACACACCATGGTAAAAAGAATACATTAAAAATAACAATTATGCAAGGGTTGTACAATGGGCGGCCTTATTACTTAAAGCAATTTCTTCCAGGCAACCAAAGAATAAAAGTGATCATGTTTAAGCTGACAAAAACATTGTCGGAAGAAATCCGGAAAGCAGTTAAATTAAAAGGTAAAAATTGTACGTGAACGGCCATCATGCAAAATATTGGAATCTCGAGAGTATATCTTCTCGTATTATGAGAAGCTGTTTTGCTTGTCAATACCTGTATTGCTTGGAATCTCGCTGAGATTCCTGTGAGCGAGATGTTTCTCTTCATTTGCATTAGTCGTTGATTTTTAGGAAGCTTGTAACATTATCTTCAAAATGTATACGGGATGATGGGATATAAAAGAGATTTTGTTTTTGATTTAGAAGCATTTAATGTAGGCCCTGTAACAATATCTGAACCTAAGTTTTGTTTTTTTTTCTTTTATAATGAATAGTCGTAAATTATGATATAATATAATTTTTGGAGATATTTTAAAATTTAGTTATGAACTCTTACGACCTTGCAATCTCACTATATATTTTAGGTAATGACTTTTACAAATTATTCAATGTTTAAACTGTAAAACAAACGTTGTATATTATTTTTCCGGTTGTTATGAATACTACCACCCATTACAAAATATGAAACACATTGTGAATAAAAATGATTTATAGGACCACGGACCATGGACTCCGTAATTTTAATGAAAAACTAAATATGATAAAATCTGTGAAACAGTTACAATGATTGCAATTTATTCAATAATCAAGTTTATATTAATTTATTGTTTTAGTTGTATCGAGTGGTTTGTCTAAGACTGTTTAGCGTAGTGGATGGGCGAGTAGAGTGCCCGGGAATGTCATACGTTGGCTCCGTTGCGGGATATTCGGTGAACAAATACACACGAATTCGTCTGGTCGTTAGTGCTGGCTGGTGCGGTGGAATTAATAGGCAGCATTGAACTTGAACGCGGCGGTGCGTGCGCGCGTGACGTCACCGCATACACGTGCTGGCGCGGGGCGTCGGTCGACCGCCGCAAGGCCACTCCGCCCCGCCTCGAGAAACCAACCGTGAACGATTATCCCCTCAGGTGATTTTCGGCTGCTAGTGTGTTATAAAGTGCGCGGTCGTGGCGGTTGGCGATTGTCGAAGTGCCGAGTTCGCCCCGCCGTGTCTTGTTAATTTCCTAACCACCCGGGAACCTTCTTGAATCTCTCGGGCGACCAGCACGAAACGATGATCGGTAGCTCCAAAGAAATCTAACCTCAGTTATCAGCGTTAGAAGTTGGACTATGAGAGTACTAACTTCTAATGTTCTCTTATATCTATCGCTTTATTAGAGAGATATACAGTTAATAAGAAGATACAAGGATTGGCTCGACGTTTGTTTGTTGCTGTTTTAAAAGTAAACATAATAAAAGTTCCGAAACCGCGCTCTTAAATGGATAAACTGTGTATTTCCCTTTTTATATTCAATTTTACGGTAAAGCTATGACACACGTAAACATTTCCCAAATGCCGTGAAGTTGCAAAGTTTCGTTTTCCGGGGTTTTCCGTGATGTAATCTGACAGAGAAACTTTGCACTTTGAGACGGTGGTTTTATGTAAAAAGAGGCATTTCGAACTGTGCCGATGTCCTTTCTCAACTATAATTTAGCTAAAGCCCCGTACTGTTTCTGGAAATAAGCCTTCTCTATTGATTAACCTTTTTAGGGTTCCGTACCCAAAATTATAACTAAGACTCCGCTGTCTGTCCGTCTGTCACCAGGCTGTATCTCATGAACCGAGATAGTTAGACAGTTGAAATTTTCACAGATGATGTATTTCTGTTGCCGTTATAATAACAAATTTTAACAAACCTAATAAAAATGTTTAAGCGGGGCTCCCATACAACAGATTTGATTTTTTTTGCCGTTTTTATAGATAATGGTACGGAACCCATCGTGCGCGAGTCCCACTCGCCCTAGTTTTATGTGAAAAGTTAAAAAAAAAAGCGAGCAGGCAGTTCACGCGATGCAAAGTGATTAGCGCCGCCCATGGAAATCTCCAAGACCAGACTGACCAGACCTTCATCAGATCAGAGGATTTCAGTTGTGTTGCCAGCCGTTAAGAAGTGAGCCCCGGTTACCTCACTAACCAGACGGAACGCGAAGGTATATTACTTTCATTTCATGCCATTCTTCTTTGAGGCTGAGGTACTTCCCCGGATGAGTACGTCTATTCGTGCAACAGCAAAAGCTGATTCGAGACTCTCCCTGTTCTACTTCTGTTATTCGCATCTTTCAGAATAAGGCCAGCTTTATACAATAAGTGTCCACATACCAATTATTAACGACCATCACAAACATAGCCATAATACATATTAATATAAATTTGGCGTTTTCTATACTGACCTTTGATCGACCGTACACGTAACTATAATACATGTTGCGTCATCAAGCTAAAGTCAAATATGTTAAAAAATATTATAATATGATAACTGTGGTAGGGCCACGCACTAGACTTCACTGTTGCACGAATGGGCAGGTTCGTCCGGGGAAGTACACGACCTCACAGAAGTCCGGGGAAGTACACGACCTCACAGAAGTAGAAGTGCTACACTTCTGCGTTTCGTCTGGTGAGTGAGGTGTCCGGGGCACTCTGTTCTGTTGAACTCTGTTCTGTTTTTTGTTAGTAAAAATATGATTAGCACAGTATTTTAATGAGAATAACAGCTACGTCTATGTCTTAATCACTCATGCATGTGTTTGTGGAAAGTCGCTTAACAAACCTTAAGTAGGTATCTGCGGATAACATAAGAACGCTTTATAACTTTAACAAATATTTATACTTGATATCTCTTCTCATTCAACTAAACCCTCTGAGCTTTTCCCGTACAAGTTTTAACCATTAACAAAAGAGATAACGTTAAACGCTAAAACCACTTCAACCACCCTATATATATAGAACTATAACAATTCAGAAACAAAATTTTTCTGTATTTAATATTCCGATTTTATTTCTTAAATGTATAAAGCAATGATTTTTCTAAAAGTTGATTTTCTTGGGTGAGCATTACACAGATATTTCCAAAGAAGAAATAAAATACAACACAGTTGTCAACACGACTCATACGTTATAACACTTAGCATTTAGATACAGTGTTGCTACTTATTTACTCTATGAAGCAACCTTTCTAAGGTTAAAGTTTATCTAACGCCATGTCGTAATACAACAGAACGGCATAAGTGAGTATTTGCTCGAAGCTAATTCAATAAGTAAATTACTTACATTTTAAATGTCAACAAAGTTGAAAATATATACAAGCGAAACATTGCATTGCATAAAAAAACTTAAGTTCATACATTGAAACATTTCAGTGTTAATTTGTAGTTTTGCTGAAGTTGTATCATATTTCTTTTTTACTATAATCGCCTTTTACAAGTAGTAGGAAAATATCCCTGAGTTGTAATATCTCCTCTTAGTCCATATTAAGCTAACAATTTTCCCAGCACGGTATGGTCACGTAACTAATATAGAGAATCTCTAGTCCTTTCTAAACTCTCTGTTAACAGCAAATGGTATCAAAAAACAATAATATTAAATAGAGTCGTAGTCATAATTTAAATGGGAACTGGAACTAAGAAACTATTAATTCCCATCCAAGTATGCAAAAAATAATTGATTGAAAAGTTTATATAATTACATCAATGATTTGTTTTTTTTATTACTTTACTATTTACTATTATTTAACTCCCGCGTACCGACCTGATCTGATACATCTGTATTGCAGAGGGATAATAAATCCGTCGAAGGAATCGGCTCGCTTAAGTAAATAGTATCTATACATTAAGTAATGAAAAGTAGAGATAATTCTATTTGTTATCTTATGACAGGTACGAGCAGATACGTCAACAAAACTGATAACTAATTTTTTTTAATCTGATACCATAGCTTATCTATCCAGATAAGTATATATTGTGTATTATACGTTCAAGAATTGAATACACCACTCTAAACAAATCTTAGACTAATGTTTTGACTGTTATCTTTTCGAAACCTTATCAAAAAGCCTAATTCAATCTGACTAGGTTACTTAACCTATATACTTATTTGTCATTGTTTTCTTCATCTTTCTCTTCGTTTCTTCGTCTCTTATTCTCTATGTATTTTATTACCGTATGGTTTTTAATTTATCTATGGGAAATAGAGCTTAGTCGACTTATTGAATCTGTTTAGGTCTTTGACATTCTGTCGGCTCTAATCGTCGCCGTTTCAAACAGACAACAAACATATGCTATGAGTATAAATAAATAGGTTTTAATACATAAACAATTAAGAAATTAGTAATTTTCGTAAAGAGTACTTGCGTTTCCCGTTATTAACTATGATTTCAACCTACCGTTTCGCTTTTAATATGAATAGTTTTATAATTAAACACAGAACTAGCCCAGCTTTCTTTTAAAGCCGGGCTAGTTCTGGGCTTTCCTTGTGAATATTATTTGAATCGTTATTTCCTAGGCATTTATTATTATGAATAGTACTAATTATCAAAAATAAACACTCGTAGTCTATCACGGATGTGTATAGAAACCAATATGTGCAGAAATGACAAAATTCTCATATAGCAAAATATACAACTCCTATTCCTGTGCTAATGGCGTTGCATTTAGCGCGGTGAAGTTGCTTATTGTACTAGACTTGCGTAAGATTCGTTTCGCAAACCCCACTACCGCCGCGAAAGCTGTGACGTAACATGCGCGAGCGCTAGAACGGCCCATTGATTAGAGCGAGTCGTGAATCTACGTCGTTATTTAATCCTGCCAATTCCTATTTTGAATTCGCGACAAAAGCAATTCTCGACGGTTCGGCTGTCGACACGCAGATAACGGTGTTGTCATTTCTTTTTAATTACCTAATGTTCGTTTTTAATTCTGCCTTTTATCATTGGGTGACAAATAAGGACGTGGGCCGTAATGCGTTTTCAAATCATAGTGTTACGATGTGTTCGTTCATCGCTTATCGTTTGTAGAGCATCGCTTGATAAGCAAATCTCCTTATTTCATTGACATTTAGATAAGATTTTTGAAGTTATACTTCTTTTGGCGCGTTTGGAAAAATATGAGAGTAACATTTTTACGATGCGCACGCACACCGACATGATGAAGTTGGTTGCAAAGCGACCACTCTCATGGTATTGCTATGGTAACCATTGACAACTTTTTGACTTTTATAATGCCAAGTTATTTAATTAAACCTTTTTCAATAATTGCCTTTTATGTCTTTTTCACAATTAAAGAGTACTGGCATAAAGGATAAAATATTTAGTTATTTTTCTTTTGCTAAGGAGGTATAACTTCTTCTTCTATATTTTAAACTCTACATTGAACATTTCATACGGCGTTTTATTCTTTATGCTGTTTCGATATACATAACTATCTGTGGTTGCTATGGACATGCTTGTAGTTAACGCGATATAGATTGTATATATGACATAAGATCGAGACCTGTTTGTTTATTTGTCTCGTTAACCTATACACGAAGCGAAGGTAGAAGTCATACAAACATCAGCCTGTTAAAGGGCCAAGTTGATAAACAAGATGTCCTTACTGGCAACAATTGTTTATAGCAACAATGTGTTCTTTCTAAATATTAATAATAATGATACACAATAATAACTACCGCTTTTCTGTTTACTGTTTTGCTGTTAACAGCAATGGTTAGATTTTTAATCATAATTGGAGAACTCGCCCGTTTCTTCCGCAAAAATTTAATTATATTTGTTTAATTTTACGTTAGTAACAATTAGCTGTACAATTAATAACAATTAGGATACATACTCTTTTATCTTGCTTTCACATTGTTCAATATTATATAAGGCTGAAGTATCAAATTGAGAATTATAATTATATTTAGATTTTTATGTTTTCTTCCGATTTAATTATGAATGTTACATTAAGAATACAATTAAAGATGTAAAATGATCTTAAAGTCTATTAATTTAATGGACATCGGATAACTTTAGATGTTTTAGTGTTTTCTTAATTCAAGAAATGTTTTTAATTATCCGTTTCTCGCTAAATTATCACGTTATTAATTATAGTTGTTATGT